TTATTTATTATCGATTAGACGATCAACAAAAGCCCGTAACACTGCCTACAACATCGGTCTGAACCAGGTAACTAATTATAAGGCCGGTCTGAAACAGGGTATTGATTAAAGGGTCAGGTCATAAATAGGGTACCGAATTTTTGGTCGGGTCATAAAAGGGTAGGGAAAATCGTAGATTTTGGTCAAGAATAGGGTAAGGGTTTTGGGAAGTGGGCCGCACACCCCCACCAAATTTTTCTGGAAGTACTCCCCTCCTCCCGGGGGACAAAAAGGCATGCACTGCGATATGAAGTTGACTAAGATGGTTGGGATGGAAATGAATTACAAGTATGGACAAAGTTGTCGTCAATGCGAAGCTCCTATGGTCAGGACTGTTCTTAGATTCCTTGCGCGAAAGGAAACTCGTCAGAGCTCATCATGTTTGCGTCTGATCTCAACAGAACGTTTCTTGCATTTATTATCATTTAAACAAGTAACGGATAGGATTACCTTTGAGGAGAATTAACAACAGTTAACATGAGGACGTGAAAAACAAAACAAATTTCAAACTCTGGTTAAAATTCCAGGGAGTTGGCTACTTGTTAAACTATGAAGTGTGTGTTTATTACCTGGAACCAGTCAATGGTACAACAGTTGACTAATGAAGGAAACTTTCTGAGCCTGTTACGGAACGCGTCACCAATGGGGCTCATTGCAAGCACAATATGCAGCTGGTCTCTGACTCGATCTACAAAGTAGTTGAACAGCGCTACTGGCGACCCATCTGTCTGTTTTGACTTGTCGCGTTGCCTTCAAGAACAAAATTAATACCAGAATCTCAGTTGACATTGCTCATTCTCTTTTGCTTCTTTTTATATTAGCCCCAAGAATTTCTTGCTTGATCTAAGCTTCACCTTAGTGGTGATATTATGTTAAGAATATTTGCCTTTAAGGTAGATTCCAGTCCTAGCGTTACCATGGTTCAAAAGTTTAAATGAAATCGTCATGTGTAGCCAATGAAATGAAAGCTATTGAGTGTTACTTTCATGTGGTGCTGTTTAGTGTGTTGTAGAAGGCGCTTCTAACTTTAAGCACGTAAAGAATGAAATACATCCTAGGCTTGCTACCATTCAGTTGAAAGCTGTTGGGCAATACTTTCACGTGAGATGCTGAAGATAATTCTAACTTTAAAGTCTGCGGCTGAAACCTTAGTGTCTGGACACTCAAATGAAAGCTAGTCAGTGGGACTTTGATGTATTGTACTTTTGTTCCCTTTCCTCATTTTCCAATATTGATTTTTGTCCAACTTTCGCACTCTAGCAAGTGTGATAGATAAAAGGTGACAACAAAGCCAAATACAAGTGAATATAAGAAAGATCATTTATTTGAACGGTGTAGAAATATATGAAGACATGATTGATCATCGCAGTTATATACAAAACTTAAGCAGCTGTGAAATTAAAGCCTGAAAATAAATCAGGCTTGAACGGGATTCGAACCCATGAACTCTGCGATACCGTAGCAGTGTTCTACCAACTGAGCTAACAAACCAACTGGGAGCTGGCTCTATGAATCTGCACGGAATGTAATAAATAAGAATTCCAGTAATAGCTGGCTAACGTTCAATTTGTGTTACCAGTGCAACATCGTACCTGTCGAATACTCTCATCTTTTCACAAATCTCTTGTTTCTCATCCAAAGGAAATAAGTTGGGTACTTCACCAGCATTCAATAAGTTGTTTACATCTTCCAAAAACGATTCCTCTTTAATCTATGAGGCAACATAGCAACATGGTAAGTCAGTTGTGAAACGTCTAAAAACGGTTAGCAGCAACCATAGTCAGTCTAACCTGAGTGTCAGTAAACAGGAACACCCCATTCATTTCGCCTTCAGCCGTCTTTCTCAGAATCGCTTTCAAGTCTTCACGCCACTCATTTGAAGTGTATCCTTTGCCAATTTCAACCTGACACAGGAAAGGTACATATACCGTTAAAATGCGATAATTGAAAAACACAATTATCGTGAAAAATCCTGCAGCAAGCAAAGCACACAAATCGTTACCTGAAACAGGTCATAATCTGCCATGTGCGCAGCTAGTCTGGTCAAACTCTGTCTTCCACTGCCGCCAACGCCCACCAAGAGACAGTGACCACGAGGCTGTTTGATCACGCGGGAAATCCTAGACACATGCTCAATAGCAAACCTACAAGAGATAGACGGCATGGTTATTACTACAGCCAGGCCGATAACACAGGCTAAGCTCTTTCCTCCCTTACCTGAACAACACCAAATTCATGGGTTTCTTGCTCATGTTGTTGAATTCATCTAGGTACGTCTCCACCACAGAACGTAACTTGTCCAAGTCCTTGACCTCCACATAAGGCTTAGGATCCGCCTTAGGGTCAGTGAAGTCACAGTAGATCAGACTTCGTAAGTCGTCCTCCTCCACTCGGCCGTCGTTGTTGGAATCAAGTCGTTCAAAAAGCTTGTCAAATTCAACACCAAGGTGAGGTTTACACATCTCACGCAAGAAGTTGAAGAGCCACTGCCTGTCACTGTCATCTACCAGCCGGTCATAATACACACGGTAAACCTAAACACAAATGGGCCCATCAGTTTTATTATTCACCCCAATTTGTTTAATGATAAAAGTGCTATCATATTTTTATAACCAAAGCCCAATTAGGTCAACCACACCAAATACAGCAATTAACCGATCTGAAGTTGAAGGAAAGATATGCACCTTCCATCACAAAGGAAAGAGGATCTAAGGGGAAAGGCAGTTTAACAATGACCTTGTTTTGGTTTCATCCACTCAAAAATAGAAAAATCTCCTCAGTCTTCATAACAAATACAAATACCATAACATAAGTGTACCAACTTCTCAAGACAGAACGCCAAAGTTTAATTTCTGAGGTTTGCCTCATGCTAAAATATTTCTAAAATATCTTTGAAAAGGGAACCAATATTGCAGGAAGTATTATTCCAGGGATGGACGTTATTTGAAGGAACATTAAACAAATGATAGGCTATGCGATTAATTAAAATGGTAGGCCTTAACAGAAACCTCGTAATACTTTAAAAAGTTGTTAATTTTCCCCTGCTCTAGCCACATTCTTTGCTTGGATATGCTGTGCTACTGAGTGGCTAAATCACCTACCTCGTGGCACCAGAGTCGTTTGAGGTTATCAGGATCTTCAGTGATGTCAGGAGTGGAGAGAAGAGTGCCTTGAATGACTCGAGCAAAGTCTCTTAAGTTGAACAAGTAATGTGACTTGGCTGGAGTGGGCAGCAGATTCGTCATGGCATTCTTGTACACTTCTAAAGTGCTGCTAACCAGCATCTCACCCACAGCGATATATTCTTTAGAAAACCCCCTGAAATATTATATGCACAGAAAACCTTCACTAAAGGAGCTACACTGCAGATGCTACACTGCAGAAATGTTTTCAGTGTAAATACAAGTTTCTGTTTCTTTAAAAATAAAAAATAATTATGATAACGGATGTATTGCATAAGTGATGTATACAATCACCTTGTGGTAAGATGCCATTCCATGATCCTGCCGAATATTTTAGTCATGGTTGTATCATCAAACGTGGTGATACTGATCGTGTTGAAGTGACGTAGGAAGCGAGGTGTAACAGGATTACGACCTCCGCCTGGGGGACCCATGGCTCCTATCATCTGAATGTCCACCAGATGGATAGGAGAAGTGTCTTTAAGGTCGTACCTGCAATGTCATAACAGGAATTCTCAAGACGTCAAACATTGGCTAAATAACAACTTCTTACATCTCATGTCGACAACAAAGAAGACCCCAGAAGAAATACGAAAATAGCGAGAAGCCAAATCAGATTGTAAGTCAAAGGTAATGAGGGCTAATTACCAGTTCCAGTGATCCATCCACTGACGTAACAGTTCAATTGGAGGCTGGGCGCCATACACCTCTCGAGCCGGCATGTTCAAGTCGTCAACAAACACAACCTAAAATTGCACCATCAAATATTTAATAAAATAAAAAATAAATCACTTTAGGCGTCATGGTATTAAGCACCGTTTAGCTAATCGGTGACACTACAAATGAAGAAACAAATATTGTAAATTGAACAAATCCAGCGTCAAAACCACCAGACCATGCCGCCTCCATCAGAACAAAGAAAACCATTGTAGCATTGACACTTTAATTATTGTGACAGAGGGATGTCGCAAAAGGATAAAGTGAAAGTATATAATTTATATTTGCCGATCTAAGTAACAGATGTTTATTCCGCTGCTAATGTAAATACTAGGATCTAAAGCCGAGACAGAGAGGTGAATTGAATACGCACCGTTTTCTTGCCCAGGGGAGGGCCAAACACTCCTTTACGTCTCTTGTCTAATTTAGACATAATGATGTCTTGAGTTTGTTTAGCTGTGGTTTGGGCTGAGAAATTGATCAATAATGGCTTGTAAGTGTCTGACAGGTTCTTCAAGAGAAAGTTCTGTTGAAAAAAAAAAATTAAAAAAACAAACAAACAAACAAACTGAGTCACATTGCATCGGCACAGATTAAACAGTATATCCAATGTCGTGATCGAGACACTTTGCATTTTCAATATTAGTTGGAAGCAGTTTATCATCTCTTGCTACTACGTCGTGACGTCTGTAGACAGTCCACAAGAAAAAGAACTATTTAAACAACTCTCTACTGTACGCACACATTCATACAGCATGGAAAGGACATCATCACTTTGTCAATGAGAGCTATGAATAACGAGTGAGAGAGGAGCAGTACAGACCGTGATATAGACAGATTTGCCAGTTCCTGTGGGCCCAACAAACAGGCAAGACTTCTGATGAGACACAAGCTGCTCCATGAGGAAGGTATAGCGCACAGTATCCACAGTTGGTACTATGATCTCATTGAATGCCATTTCCTGCAGAGTATAATCAGCTTATATCAACACTGTGATGAAGTCGTAACTTCTCTTTAACTTCGTTGTTATCACAAATTCAAGTGGGAGGTCACGCAACTCGAGAAACTGATCAATCTTGGAAATATAGAAGGAAAATGGAAAAAAATACATAAAGAGCTGTGAGGATAATTTGAAATGTAATACCTTGGGAATGGGAGGAGCATCCTTGATTTCCTCAGTCCATAGTTCCCACTTGCCCATGCCCTGGAGATGCAAATCATACATTAGTCCAATACTTACAACCCAAACAAGATATGGGTAGAAAACAAACAACATAAAATGGTGGACACAACATATCAGATTGTACAAAGGATAAGTAGTGCAAGTGACCTCTTTGATGAAGCGGTAATCATAGACCGTTCCCTTGCTAGGAAAGGGGCAGAGAAAAGGGCGTGGTGGGGGATCCACTATCTCCAAGATGTGATACTTGCTCTTACTTTCCAGTGACAGGGGACCCTGCAAGAGAACATACATATAACACTTAACAACTATAATTTCTGTGAAAAAGGTTCATTCCTCCTTTAAATTTTACATAACCTATCAGAAAGTTGTCAAAAAGATGTCAAAATTAAGAAAGAACTTCTTGAATGCAAAAGTACGGTGCACATCACTGTCAGAGCAGTGCCCAATTATTTTTCGAAAATACGTTAAGCCTATTTACCTCTACAATTTCTCTCAGTACTTTGTCAAAATCTTTCCTTCCACGAGCATCAATTGAAGCACCCAGAGACCACACACACGAGAAGAGGTAGATACACTGAAAGTAAGGCAAAAAAAAAAAAAAAACATGAAAAAAAAATTCAAGAAATTATAAAAATGAAACACTACTGATGAATACCTCAAGCCAAGCGGCAACTTCTCTTTCATTGAGCTCTTTAAACTTCTGTTCGTCATGGAACTCATCCATCATGGTATCCATCAGATTCATGTGTGATTTCACCATGTTACTGTCTGTTGTCGGAGACAATTCCTACAAAGCACACATACATATAAAAACACACACATGGGTCATATATTCAGCAAGTATTTCTGTTAACAGTAGGTCTTTTTCTTACAGTAGATTAGTAAAGTTACGTACACAAAGAAGAGGTCTCTTGTAAATAAAAATCCACTGACTTCAAAACAGGCCGTTCATTTCATTTTCTCCATAAAAACTTGCCTTCAAAGTTGAATCCAAGTGGATCATTGTGGATGTTGGGACATTTAGTGACTAAGTACTCGGAGTAAGTAAACATGATGACAAGAGTGACAACACATTACCTTGAATCCTCCTTTTCGAACAAACTGCAGCAGCGCCTCCTCCATCCTGTCGAACAAATCTTTAATGAGTTCCAAATTCTCCTCATTCAATGTCTTGGGAAGAGTGCTGAGCCATGACACAAGCAGCGGCTTCCATCCTAGCATGTGAGGCTCCATGTAAATCATACCACAACGGCTCACCTGCACCAGATAAACAACAACTCTATCAATATCATGATGGTTAAGAACTCTGTGTTCTTTACAAGTTTTGTTGGAGCACCTGTGCAAACGTTCCTTTAGGTTCACAATAACCTTCCAACTAACTCTTGCAATTTCTTCTGGTCATTTAATCAATGTTCTTCATCTCCTGATTCTTAAGAATGTACTGGCCTTAAGGTCTGCACGAACACATCATATAAAATGTCTACTTACAGTAGCTGGCGAAGCAACCTCCAAATCCATTGGCTCAAATATCAAGTTAGTAGTTGGAGCAAGCTGGATTATTTCTCCACTGTTTAGGCAAAGCTGAAAAACAAAGTCACCTCTGTGAGCACTGGTACATCTCGGCAGATAAGCTGGTGAACAATCCGAAATTTAAAGACATGGAGAATATATCTAAGCCAAAAAACACTGGATGATATAATATGAATGAGATTAAAGTTATACTAGATACCTTTTTGTTATCGTCCAGCACAGTGTTCATGTTTTCTATCCAAACAGCGTCAACAGGCCCATCAAAGATCAGCCACTTACGGTCTGGAGTCTGTGAAGACGAACAACAACTCTGTTAACAACAGTTCAGATAAATTATTCTATAAGTTATTAACAATGCATTTGGAATTATCTTATATAGGAGACAATATGTATTTACGGTACTTACTGTTCAGGCAAACCTTCACATTATCAACAGAATGCTTAGTTACTAGATCATCAGTACATTTCTATAACATGACCAATACCAATAATACATATCTGTACTTACAGTTGAAGTAGCAAACGCCCTGTAATTGACAGCCAAGACTCCATCAGACCACTCATGAGAAACTGGATCAAACTGTCCATACAGCTGACCCATAGTGATGGCTTTGGGATTGATGATTACAGTCTGGACTTTGTTCTCTTCCATCAAGCCTTGTTCCGCCACATCACTCAGAGCTCGAGCCAGCACACGGTAAGCACATGTCTTGCCACCAAACGGCTCACCAACAATCATAAAACCATGACGCACAATCATCATCTCATAGATCTGACATTTTGGAAAAAAAGAAATGAAAAGTGAATTCGAAGAAAAACACACTTAGTCAGTCTGACGGTCAGTCGGTCAGTCAGTCAGTCAGTCAGTCAGTCAGTCGGTCGGTCAATCGGTCCGTCGGTCAGTCGGTCCGTTGGTCCGTCCGTCAGTCAACCAATCTGCCAATTAATCTATCAGTGAATCACTTCTGCAAGCCAGCAGCCAGCCCGTCTGTCAGACTGTCAGTAGTTTAATCTCCTTATAGAGGGTTTGTCAGCAGACTTACACAGATCTGTTTGACAGCAATCGATCAGTCTCACCCACAAGTCATGATACAGTTAATCCCCATATTACAAATTCGTTAGTAAATTACTTACAAAAGGTAATTGATTAGTAAATCGCCAGAGCCACCTTACAACTACTATCTCAGACAAACAATCAAACTAACCTGTATTATCTTAGTGAGGAACTGATCTGCCATCTGTAGGTTCAATGCCTTGCAGTTTTCTTGAACAGCATTTGTCAAAATGGTATAATCAGGTTTAGGCAGCTTAACACCGGGGAACAAATCTGAAGTGATTCCCTTGAAAGAGTGAGTACAGATACAGTGAGTATCCCGCATGACGTTATGATTAACACAATCAGTGAATTGCTTACTTCAAACAGTGGCAAATCATGAGCCAAGAACTTGGGTAAATTCACATCGTTGATGGAACGCAACATCAATATGTCTTCATTTTCCTCCGGATATTTCAACTAGAAACGAAAAATAGAAGCAAAAAATCAAGCTACATACAGCTCTTATTTCTTGGTAATTAGACTTACACTAAACTGCTTACTGTTGGCTTTTCTATGCTTACGAATATTCCCTCCTCGCATATTACACGAAATTTTCGCGCTTTCCACCATCGGCATATTGACGAAATAAGTTGTTAAAAAAGATAAAAGTGTCTCCACATATCAGTCTTTCAAAATCACTAATATGGAGCTGTTGTGAAAATTTTGTGTAATAAACTATTATACGAAAAGAAGTGACTTAGAAAAACATTTGACTATAAAAAATTGGGACAGAACATTTCTTAAAAGCATTCTAAGATTTAAAAAGCTAAAAAGTTGATGTAAAAATCGACGACGTTTCGACGTTTCCGTAACGTCATTATCAAGTTAAAAATGTGTAAAAATTAGGTTCTATAAATACTTAATGATGGAAACAGACAACACCTCCAGGTCAATTCAGTTTTAATTCAACTTTTTAGCTTTTTAAATCTTAGAATGCTCTTAAGCAATGTTCTGTCGCAATTTTTTATAGTTAAATAAACTATTACCTTTAAGTTTCCTGCAGCAGTAAGAACAGACTTGACAGCCCTCATGCCGTAGTCATAGTGATGCTGAGATGACAACTGCTCAGAGCACAGCGTGTAGGTGGTGACAATTTTCACAGCCAGTGGTCGTGCCTGACAAACAACATCAAATAAGTAATCCACTCAACATATAGGACGCTACTCAAAAGTAACTAAAGCTACAAATTTAATTCTTTTAAATTTCGTAATTCTATATACATTAGATGATACACAGTAGTTTACATACATTCACAAAACCATAGGAGTATAGTGATATTTCCGCAATCAATGCATAATCCGGAACCATCATAGCCACTGTTCGGAACAACGCCTACAAGAAGAAAAAATAATGTTATATAAGATAAAAGTACGGATTGGTATTATAAGAAATAACCATGTCCCACAGGCCAATGAAAAAATTACCTTAAGGTTATCAGGTAACTCAGATCTGCCAGCATAACCTGGGTTCATGGTGATGAATGTAGCACAACTGGGGTCCAATTTCAGTTCAGTGCCTTCAAACAAGAGAGTGTCTGAACCTGAGTTGATACCTGTCATTAAAAAATAGAAAATAGTACCACAGGTTCACCCTAGCTGTATTTCACCTTATCACAATGACGAGAAGATTCAATAAAATAGCAATTTAAGAGCTGACTGTAAACATACCCATTTGAATGGTTAGAATCTGCTGAGCAACCACAGACAACACCTCCAGGTCAATTCGGTTGAATTCATCAAAGCAAGACCATGCCCCACATGATGCCAAACCCTGTCAATCAAATAGTTATTGTGACAATCTTGAAAACTGATGGCTGCAGCAGAACAACTGCCAGTCGCTTCTACGTTCGCTCCTAATGTCCCTTAGATGGCTGACTGGCCTTGGCTACTTTTGAGGCTTTGTGCGATGACTTCTTTGTTATATTACCCCATCAAAATGCAGTGTCTATGCTTGTCTGGCATCAGAAAATTAGGGCTAATTGCTGCAAGCGCGCACAAATGAAGAAATACAAACAAGCAAAGGGTTGGTGCAAGTTACGTCAACTTTGTCTACAGTTTACTCCCTTCACGTATCACTTCCTTCCCTGCTTCTTTCCATTTTAAAGATTCAAAAAGATCAAATTTTTCTTCTAATTCGGGAAAAAGAATGATATCAGTTGCAAAATGTTGCTGATGTTGTTTTACAAAACAGTGTAAAGAGACTGAGTTACCAGTGTTACACACACCTTGAAGAACTTTCCAAGTGCAATGTAATCCAATCCATCAGAACAGTTAAACACAACACATTGTTTAGCTACAGCTTTGGCCAAATCCTTAGTAGTTTCAGTCTTTCCTGTTCCTGCAGGACCCTCGGGTGCACCTCCCAAATGCAGCTGTAGAGCTCCAAACAGAGTCCTGCAGCAAAACGGATTTTAACAATTTAGCTAAACATAGATAACGTTGTTCCTCTGAACAATTTAGAAATCACTGTTACTTACTTACTGAATCAATGCGTTGTTTCTGATAATACTAAACAATACACATAGCTTACAGATCAACGCGTTTCAAAAGTTTTGAAGACAACGTGTGAACATCAATTTGCACGATATGTGGAGATGTAATTCAGACAGAAAAAGGTAACAGTTCTGAAAACAAAAGTCCAAACGAGATCATAGGTAGATACTTACCTGTAGCATCTGTCCGTGAGAGGAGTGATAACCAGTCGTCCTGAGTTGCCGAGATATTCATAGCCATAAGCTAGTTGGGCACTAATCATTCTTGTCATCACGTTCTCCTCCTGAACAACAACAATATAACTTGAATATNGCTTTATGTATTTCCAGGGTCCAATACAGCTGCGAAACACAAAGAATTGTCTGACCCGGCCAATCTCTCACCCACTTAACTCGCTCTGTCTTCTCATACGCTTCTGTTGCTTCCATGATGACCTAAAAAGAGTATTTTCACATAAATAATTGAGCCACTCCTTATAGTGTCAGAGCGATATGCCCCCACTTTATGAGTCAATAAGTAAAACGTTTACTGGAGATGACAAATCTGGCATATTCTGTCCAGGATTTAAAATTTTGTGTACTTACATGCCAATTACTATGTTAGTGAATAGGCACGTTTACTTTACTTTAGGAAATTTTCTGCATATTAATCAACTCCACTTGCAACTAGTACAGGCATAATAGCTGGTTTAAGTTCATATCATTACCTCCTCCAAAGAGCTGGGCCTAGAATTTTACTGATATTCTCCCCGATACGAACCTTTCTAATACTAGCAATCATGTCTTCTTGTAGCTCCAGTAGCCACTTTTCTACTTGTCCTCTAGCCTTTGATGTAGAAATTGTGTCTTTGAGGGGTACAACTTCACCCTCAGAACTCTTCATGTGGGTGATGTCTAGTGTGTCTGTGAATTCCAGTGATGCAATTCCTTCAAAGCACTTCTTTAGATGAGGTTGTACTCTAGAAAAATAATTGAACGAATGTTTGTTTTGTCAGAGTAATATACAGTAGTTTAGTTTGCTGTAGTATAGTGTGATTATCTGGGTGAGTGTAGCCCTGAAAAGAACTGTTGTTGGTGACTGACGTTTCGACAACCTGAGCAGAAGTCATCTTCAGAGTCAAGTGAATAGTGTTTGTCAGTCGCTGATGNGAAACTCGCTTGATATGCTGCCGAAGCATACGAAAAAGGTGCGATTCGGCATATAAGTGTTATATCATGGTATGCTTGAGTTGAATGTGACTATTGAAACTAAACACTTTACTGGAGCTGCTAACTGTTTGGGAGTTGGTTTGGCTGTAATTAATATTTCAGTAGAAAACTGTCTAAATAACAATGTTGAAATGGTTGATTTATTGCTTGCTAAATGTGTGCTGTTGTGATCAGCCTTTTTCTTATGGCTCGATCCGTCAGTCTACTATTTTACTGGAAAATCATTGAGATTGTTCTGCTGATTTTTAAATAGGTGCTTTCTTCCCCCTCACTGGAACATGAAGAAAATCAACCAACCAACCCTGATGGAAAAGGTTGATAAGCAGAGAAAATTAATTAAAATTGAAGAAAAGAAAAGCAGGAAAAGAAACTCACCAAGACCGCAACCTTCATGATCTCTCTCCAGTTCTTATCAACAGTGCTGAATCGTCTGGAATGTTTATAACAACAACACATGAGACTGAATGCTACAAACCTAACAGATCACATATTAAGGAAGTTCACAAATTATATTATTACTGACCTTCCCTCCTCGGGCATCTGGGCCATGATGTCAGGCGAACTAAAGATAGGTTCTAAATACAGCCATGTAGCTTGCACTTTCAGCCACTCATCAATGATCTCTTGTGTCAGCATCAGTTTGCCTTCCCATTCCCTGAAAACAAAGCCACACAAATATCAATATGATAATCATGCTTTGATGAAAACTTTCCACAACAAATTAGAAACTGGAAATGGTGGCTCTGGAGTGGCTAGAAAAAAACTAAAGAATTGCGTCTGGAAAAAAAACCATTGGAGAAAGGAAAGAACCAACACAACTTAGACATGACCCAAGAGAGGGAAAACAGACAGTCTAGAAACAACAACAGAAATGTAAATGGACATACTTGATTTCTGTCTCAAATGGTTTGATGAACGGTGAACCTCTCATAGTCTGTGTTTTAACAATCTGATCATCCAACAATGTCTGAATGTCATCGATTGATGACAAAATGTGAGTTCCAGTTTCACGGTAAGGAATCATGATAAACTCGATCTGAAGGCAATGAACAAACAAATATCGTTAGTAACTGATATTAGAAGCTCGGTACTTCAAACCTCTGTTAATATAAGAGGCAGAATGTCACATACACAGTTGTGGAGTTCTCCACCTCTGTCGCATCAGTGATAAAAAAACCATCCAACATATCAGTTTGTTCAAGTATGTAGTGAGTGATGGCCGCCACATCAATTTTTCAAACAAAGTGTAAGGTTGATCATCAAAGAGCTAAGCCATGCATCACTTAGCTTTGTTATTAAATAGTGTAGGGCTAAGGCTAAAATGTTATTGAAACACGATTTCCACTTTGCTGATCCAGTTTTGTTCAGATAATAACATTGAAAAGCCGTCAAATTGATTTTCCCTTGAATGAACTGTCACTGCACACACCTCATCCCACTCACGGACCATCTTCTCCATGGCTTTTTCAAGAGAGAATTCCTTACTGGCAGCCTCACTAATGGTTTCAAACTGACCCAAGTAAGGTTCAAGATTCATTTCCACCATCTTAGCAAGATTAGTGTCTTCATCAGGCTTGAGTGGATAGCCAAGGATCTCTGACATCATTTCCCAATGCCTATCACGAAGGCCCGGATTAAACAGCACCTGAACCAGGGGAAGGTGCTCTTTAAACTCGTCCACTTTAGCCTTCATCTGTACATTATCAACAGCAAAGGTTGTGTTATATTTAGAACAATAACAGCCAGTGGTAATTTTCGTAAAGAGTCTTAGTAGCATAACTGCATCTAACTTAGGAATAAAGTAACCATGTATAATGCTGGGAGTGTACATCTCTGATATCAGCCACGTAGAACCATTACTTAATGGGCACATTTGATTGGATCAAATTTGAAAAAGGAAGAATGCGTGAACTAAAATTTCAAGTTGTGTGTACAAATGCCAAACCTTCCATGTGCATATTTCTGAATCTGTAGTAATGTGAAACAAAGGGTTAGAGCAGATTGGTTTACTGGTGTTTAAGATTTTTTCTTTGATGTCATTCTACGAGATATTCTTCCCACAACATTTTATCCACACAAAGTTCAGGGCTAAAGTTAGCCTATTCGCAAATGTGATAACATCCATCGTGATAGGAGATGCACACTTAATTAGTACTATACAATTCAGGCTCAGCCCATGATTCTATGCACATGAAGACTTCTGAAAGCCATATAGTGGTAAGTACAGACATCAAACAATTTTAAAATTGGGTTGTAACAATGACATCACAACTTTGAATTAATCTTTAGCTTATCATACTTCATAATAACAAGTTACTTATATAGTGTGCAACAGCAAATGAGGTTTACCCTTGCTGCAATCTTTTGTGCATTTGGCACATCACCAAACTGCTTCTCCAGTTTGTAAAGAGCTCTCCAGAAGTTGCCTGTCTCTCCATCAACTTTGTCTGGGTCCATTGTACCCCACGGTCCTTCCATCCACTCCCTGAATACACAATAAGCCATAGTTTAATAAATTGACACCCACTCTCACAAATTATGTTAATTCTGTTAGTTGAAAGTGAGCTGTGAGTCACATTTCTTTTACCGGGAACTTGAACTTCTCCCAGTATGGCCCTTGCATTTGGTCAATAAATATACTGCATATACGGTATCACTTGTGCATCATTTGCATCACTGAGTTACTTACTTGTACTTGTTTTGAAACTCTACTGTTGTTTCATAGAGTTTTAAATAAGGATTCAGAGTGTTGATCAGCTGTTGTCGTTGTGGATATGATGTCACATCCCAATTGAAAGCTTCTTCTTCTTGGTTGAAAGCAAGTATCTGAGGAAAGAGGAAAATGTTACACTCAGGTAGGTTTTCTGTCAGTAAAGAATCATCACTTTCATTTGACTTTGGATCTCTCATTTAGCAGGGGTTTTTTTCCATAAAAAGAGTTTGCAAAGTAGTTATCACCTTTTCGGCAGCTGACTCAAGTCTTTGATTGAGAGCTTGTGCTTTCTTTAGATACCGCTGAATCTCTTGCATGTCTCCAAATGACTGGAACTCCTCAAGCTGTTTAGAGTAGCTCTCTAATTCCTCTACAAATCTCTCACGCCTCATCTAATCCAGTAAGAAAAATAAATGTCCTTGTCAACTCAACTATGGGTATCAAAGCAGACTGAGCTGTCAGTATAGTACAGTACTGACTTTAAATAATTTGCTATCTCATTACTGAGTGCTGTTTCTCTGATGTTTTAAATTGCCAGAGACAATATAAAATCACCTAATTCTCCAAGATTTAAAATGCAGTGCCATTTTTCATTATTAATAAAAGCTCTTGCTTACTACTGTCTGATAACCAACCATTATTTGCAGTTCTATGCACTTAATGAAAATTTAAGCTGGCAAACGTTTATTTGTATGTTAGGTAATCGTGTTGATGTGGGTGCAATTAAGGATTTGAAAATTCTCTCCAAATTGCATGATCCCAACCTATATATAGGCGACTTTAATTTGAAATAATTTTCAAATATCACAAAAAAATTAATTACTCTCAGAGCTTTCATACCAGTATTACTCTATTATGTGACTGAGAAAGTAACAAACACACAAATTTAAAATCAACAGTTGGCCTGCTCTCAACCAATCACAATGGACAAATTTTCTTTAAGCTATACAGTAAGTGCCTGTAACAGACAAATTAATTGCCCAGCTTCAGTGCCAGTATACCTTGAGGCTGTTTTCATACTGAAGACGGTTTGCATTAATGATCTTCTTGTGTTCTTCAAACACCTCTGGCATACGGAAGTGCCACTGAAACACGCTATTGTTTAGTCGCATGTCTGCAGGAGAAAATGATGCATAATCCACCTGCAACAAACAAAACAAGCAAACATCAGCATTTATCCACCTTCAAAGAGCCCCTCATTACCTTGGGAAGCCGACAATAAAAGCTGTTTTAATTTTTATAATTTAAAGTAATAATTTCTAAGAAAATGCCGGTATGACCATATTGCCAGTACTACAGGCCCTGCAAGTTCATACAATTAAGAAAATAATTAGCGCATAATTAATCAGACAAAACACTATATGCTTGTAAAATCTTAAAGTTGTTTTCAATGACTACCACATTTTGTTTAAAACAAATTTACTCCAACAATCTCAAATGCTGATCTCAGCTTGATTTCATATAGCGTAAGGGACCGTTCATTTTTTATCAGGTAGGGGGGGCTGGTGGGATTTGGGGGGGGCCATGCGAAAAAAAATGGCTTTCGAGGGGGGGCCATCCCAAAANTCATGGAGAGCGAGGTCATTTACACGCTCATGTCATGTTGATTAATTCACCTTCACAATATAACTAGCACTAGGCATAAATCTGCCAATTGAATTAATAACTGAAAATACTGTGTTTATTACAGTTTTTTCTGAGGTTAACTATGCACATGTACATGTGGAAAAATGAGTTGCTGCCAACAAGATTATTATGCACCAGTACCCATAAACATGGTAAGTTTTCAATCAATCAAATTTTCAATACTTTACAAACCACTAGACTTATAATTAATAAGGGCGGTGAATACTGCAAGCAACATACATGACTTGTGCTGAACATTACCGTTTGTTAAGCAGCTGATGATCTTTGCTCATTCTCTGAAGCAGTTTAGTTCTTAAACCATCTGCTCTCTTGGCTAATGCCCTGATTAACTCATCACAGTGAAGTTCAAACATTCCAACTCTTGTCACCTTGAGAAAGTAATAATAATTCCTTTGTTATTTCAAGCTGATTGAAGAAATTGTAACTTAACATAGCCACACTTTGTCATGTATACATATAGCTTGTGGAAGTTTGTCAGAACTTGAAAAAGCTGTAGAAACACATGCCTGTTGGCTTGTGTTCCCACAGCATTTCTCGTTCTCCCAAACTTCCACTTGAGTTTCTATATATAACTCGATAGAGACACACGTTACATGTTTGTTATTTCTCAAATAAATTATAATACCTTTTACATGTAATATAATCAAACAGAATAGCAAAATAATGAAAATAACTGTCTGATAGGACTTAAAGGAAACTGCAGGAGTTCATTGAAATGTTGCAGTTTTACATGGATCGGTCCTTTCTGAATTGATAACAAAATACAAATGATATAATGTTATAAATTAAGGCACTGCTAAGTGAGTGAAATTCTTTCACAATTTATGTTCTTATGACACTGGGTTAACCAAATAATAATTACTGAAAAAATTTGCAGTGAAATAAAATTTGTTTTAAAATAGTATCACACATTCACCCAACACACTTGATTGTAAATGCAAACTTTCATTTGGTCTTTAACAATAAGTTTAGGCAAACTTAAACTTATAGCCACAGTTAAACTTATAATAATAACCACATTAGTAATATAAATGGAAGCCCACATCACATTCTTATTTATTAGTTACATCTACCTTTTGAGAGTTGTACTGAATGCTGTCCACCAACTTAGCATACTTTTCCACTTCCTGAAACAAGAAAACAAAATATTTTATGAATAAATCTTTTTCTTCTGCTAATTGTTTGGCTTTAGTGCAAAAAGGGCGCATATTGCTTTTTGGGTCGATTTTAATTTTTTAAGGATCAAGCTAATTTTTGGCAGACTGACTTGGTTTGACATGAAAAGCGTCATTCTGTGATTGTTTTGCTGTTTCTCTACTTCTTTCAAAAATACAGTCTATTTACAAAAAACTGTGCTGTCAAAGCTGCTTAAAGTAACCGTTTAAGTTTGCATCACGTCAAAATCCACCTTCAAAGGATTTGCTCCAAAAGATGCTACTAAGAAAACTGAGTTTTTTTGCATAATTTATGTTATTTCTCGAAAACAAAGTGCCAATGAACAAAAACAATTACACAACAATACTTTTCATGTCAAAACAAGTCAGTCTGCCAAAAATTAGCTTGATCCTGCAAAAAATAAAAATCGGTATATGCCCTTTTTGGACAAAAGCCTTCAATTACTAAAAACAAGAAACATTCTTACCTTAGCAAACCGAGGAAACTTGTGACCCTCCAACATGAACTGATCCACATCTGCCTCAGCCTGTAAAGTAAGTAAAATCCTGATGTTTAGTAAAAATAATTCAACCCATGATTCATGCAAAGGCAAAAATGACTTGAAATATTGCTATCTGTCATATCAGTATATTCCTAGCCTGTGAACAGGCTCTCTAGTCAAGGATGAGGCGAAGAGAAAGTGAGAAGAAAGAGTAGTGTCCCACGGCACAACAAGGACTGCTGACGCTAAAAATTAAAAGAGTAAACACAGTACTGGTGCTTGGCATGTCCAAAAATAAGGAGATACTTGTTGACCCTAGACAAGTACATGGCTCATGCGCTGGAAAACCTGGGATTACAACTCGCACAAGAAGAGGGTTTTTCTGACCTGTATATCCGTCAGTAACAGGCAACATAATGTACTTGCGATGGTAAAATCAAACAGCGGAGCCCAACGTTTACAATATGAATGGAAGTAAGTAACTTGTTCATGGAATATTTCAAATTCTATCCCTCCAGAACTAATATGAAGATAGCTTAAAACATATCTTGTGATAGAATTGAGTCTAAAAAAAAAACAGCGAAAGTACATGTCAAAGTCTACAAAGCGACATCCAGTTAACCATGGAAACTATGCAGACCTATGACCTCTAAAAAAAACATTGGTAAAAGTACAGTGAAACAGCTCTACTCTACCTCAAATTCTCCCTAATAACACAGCACTAACTAAAGTGACCTTCAGAAGCTTGTGTTAAGAAAGGCCAACAGACCAAAGATCAAAAGAAAATGGGAGTCTGTCAACCTAGACATTGTACAGTAAACTTTTCCCAAATCCGGTAGGAAGATTCTGAAAACATCCATCTTCTCAGTCACAGATCGCAAGCAATGTTTTTGCTTTTCTTTCAGCTGTGTAAAATGAACAAAATTCCTTAGCGAATCTCTCNCCGTCAGTAACAGGCAACATAATGTACTTGCGATGGTAAAATCAAACAGCGGAGCCCAACGTTTACAATACGAATGGAAGTAAGTAACTTGTTCATGGAATGTTTCAAATTCTATCCCTCCAGAACTAATATAAAGATAGCTTAAAACATATCTTGTGATAGAATTGAGTCTAAAAAGAAAAAAACAGCGAAAGTACATGTCAAAGTTTACAAAGCAACATCCAGTTAACCGTGGAAACTATGCAGACCTATGACCTCTAAAAAAACATTGGTAAAAGCACAGTGAAACAGCTCTACTCTACCTCAAATTCTTCCTAATAACACAACATTAACTAGAGTGACCTTCAGAAGCTTGTGTGAAGAAAGGCCAACAGACCAAAGATCAAAAGAAAATGGGAGCCTGTCAGCCTGGACATTGTACAGTAAACTTTTCCCAAATCCAGTAGGAAGATTCTGAAAACATCCACCTTCTCAGTCACAGATCGCAAGCAATGTTTTTACTTTTCTTTCAGCTGTGTAAAATGAACAAAATTCCTTAGCGAATCTCTCCCCTTCACACAGATCATCTGTGAACCACTCACCGCCAGATGACACCAGGTCAACACATCAATAAGCACTTTTTTAATGGATTGGGTCAGCAAAATGGAGATGTCAATCAAACCTGTCAACAATCAGTGACCTGACCAATTAGACGTTGCACTAGATTCTAGTGCACAGTGGGTGCCTTGACACAGTGGCAAACAACCATTGTCCACAGGCTCTGACTCCCCAGCCCCCACACCATTCCTCCTCAGCCACTTCACTCTCAGCCAATTCCTTCTTGGCCCTTTTAGCCACAGTCAGACCCTTCCAGCCAAGGCCTGTTCACAGGCTAGTGTATTCCACTTTTAGTGTACATTTATGTAAGTATTTTAACAGAGAAATACTAGAAATGTGAGTTACCTTTCTGGTTATCAGGTCCTTGAATTTGTCATAAAATTTCAAATGTTCTCTAGGTCCAGCCATTTCACGAGCTATCACAGCTTCTACCTATATTGGGTTGAACAAATATAAGAAAACAACATTACATGATGTAACCATTGCTTAATACAATTATAGTATAGCCAGTTTAGTGTACATCAAACACTATACAACGGATAGTCTTTTACATTATTCAGCCATAACTGGTGTTAAAGGTTATAGCCCTGAATATTATATGGAACAGTAATACTAAGGATTCTTTACTTGGAACTTACCTTTGCCTTTGCATCATTAATGATTTCTTCTGATACAACCGGTTTTAATGTTTTCTTTGTTCCAGACTGGAAAAAAGCAATAACAAAAAGATCTATGATAGATGTCAATTGTGCCAAAACTTCATGTATCACATTCTGTGACCACCAACCATAAATAAAACCAACTCCTTGCAAATTGCAAGCCAAAATGTGCAGTGCAGTAAAGATATTGATTCAACTTTAAGGTGTTTGTCAAGCATAATGTCTTCATCTTGTCTCCTTACAAATTAAGGTATAAAGCCCATAAGGTGAAACATATTGTCTTGATCAGGTTCACTCATTTAAGAAAACAGAATTGATTTAGATAATTTTTTGACTCAATAATTTTGACTTTTATTGAAAGAATGATAATTCCTCTTTTCTATTTTTAAGCTCATCATGTGTGAAATGTTCCCTCCTGAAGGGTACATAAACTTTTTCTAGTCTGCTGTCCAGACAGCAGTCTGTCAGTGAACAGATGACCAGTATAAAGAATAGTCATCAACAAACTAACACACAAAACTTGCAAGTTGCCATGCATCTTGACAGCATGTTATCCTTAATAATTATTAATAATTTTTAACTCACCCATTCTGAGTATAGTTTGGTTTCAACTCTGGGTACAACCATGACTGCTTTGATCATGACATCATACACATTTAACAAGACAACCTGCAATAATATGTTTTTTGTAAGCAGAGCTGTATGATTTGGGCTTTAGGAGTGATAGGGGATTGAAAAATATTATGACCAACAATGTAGATACATTAATTACAGAATTATAATCTTAATTTTTAAAATACTGTACCTCAAAGTCTTTGAAATCAGGCTCAAATTTAACAATATCACCCTCCAATACAAGCCTCATGATAAATCCTGGATGTTCAAAGGCTCTGATGGAATCCTGTTAAATGAGATGTGCAGAATGCAAATCTCAAAATTATAAGGACATACAAAATATTTAAGTTCAATTTTAAGGGCAGTGCCTACTAATTATAAATACAAAGTCTTTTCGCCAGATTTGGAACATATGGAAAACATAGATCTAAGCAAGGGCTATCGGAATCCACAAAGAAAACTGGGGGTAGCCATGCATATTTTCAAGATAGTTAGCCTTGAATCTCGAATAAAATGCTGACATCAGCAATTTTCTGAAAAAGAAGGAAACGAAATTTCTCCGCAGATTTCCTTAGAATTCGCCTTTACCTACAGAAAAGCAAACACGATTCTAAAGATCTTCAAACTACATGATAAATGGTAACATAAAAACCAGTTTCGGTATGTTTTTCATAACAAAATCATAACAACAGCACTTTTAGCACCCCTGACAGCTCTTCTTTGGTGTAGCCAAAACACAGTCTAAATAGCTTTTCCTCACAAACAAAAACTAATCATGTGTTGAATACACATAGGCTTGCCACTTCCATTTCATAACATAAAATTTAGGAGTAACTATGCATTGCTTTCATCCCNGGTGTCATTTTTGGCAGTCATGGTACAATTAAAATAGCAGGAGAAAAACAGTCAGTTACTTTTTCAAAAGTGTTTCCTTGGCAATTTCTATGTGTCTCATGACCACATTCTGGAACATGGCAAGCTCTAAAGCTTCAGGTCTTAATTGAATGTCGTGAATGTCCACAAGTCTCAGGTTGCTACAAGAAAAAATATCAAATTACAAAAATTAACATACACATAAAGTTTTTTATTTCTACTGTCTTTTTCGTTTAGAATTTACAAACCAGATTGAAAAGTTTTAAACCGAAACAAAACCTATTTTTAAAACAAAATTTAACTATTTCAAGTACAACAAATTGCACATCAATCGTGAACAATGTATAACATATTCCCAGCACTGTTAACAAAAGCCCTCTGAGAAGACAAGTGGTTGCTGGACAGTGAATAATCACTGACAATGGTACAAAAAAGAGTTGCAGAGTTTTAGCTTTATTGCAAAGTATTATTTTTAAATAAAACTTGAATGCANTATATATATTTATGTAACAATGAACTGCAATATTCCACATCACTTACATGACTGTAGAAGCACAGTCAGTTAATATTGATCAAATGTGGCAGACAGCAATGAACACTGCAACTGTGCAAAGCTAAATGTAGATAACCTAGTACATGTTAATGTCCTTACTCTTTCTTGTGTTCTAAGACTTCTTCTTTTTTATCATCATCCTTTTCACGAGGATCCTTTAGAACAAAGTCAACTGCATAATAAAAAGCACAGAATACTCATCAGTCAGTCAATCAATCAATCAATCAATCAATCCATCAATCACATTTAAAAGATGATCAGCTATTCATATATGGTATATACAAATTAACAAAGCATTATTTATAACTAATTCCGGTACCACAAAAACATGGCTATAACAGTACAATTACTGTAAATTATTCACTTTTGAACAAGTCACATCCATGCACCTCTCTGTGATAATTTTAAAGGCCCAAGCCAGACCCCTTCATCAAGATGCACGCATGACCAGGAATGATAATTTAGAAAGTGATTTTAATCCATTAAAGTTATTTTTTCCACAAATCATTTCTTGTATTTCTAATAAATTATTTTGACTTTTGAACAGTATTTGACATACAATTAATTTACTCCAAAAGCTACAAACAGTGTATGATGAAATACATGTAGAAGGTCAAGAAGTACTAGTATATATAACCAACCTGTAGGAACATTTGGTTGTGTTATGATTATCATGCACATGATTGAATAACCAGGCCACAAGTTAGAGTCATCAAAATGAAAAGTAGGTCAAATCAGCACAAAACAACAAAATAATGCTCTTTCCAAAATATGCATTCCTGGTTAACCTAATAAAAAACAGCTGGCTTATAAAGCAGATTGTTAATCACCTACCAATAGCCTTTTTTACACTCAGTAAGTAGTCTTCTTTCATTTCATCTGAAAGAGTTTCTATACACAAATCAAAACCATCCTGAAATCACAAGTATTTTTAAATTAGTCAACATATACATGTATCTAGCAAATTAGACAGTAGTTAAATGTTTTGCAAATTTAACGTAATATTTTATTATATTCAGAAGACTAGCCAATGATCATGAGGTGAATACAGGCAACTACTGACAGGAGCAGAGGTAACCTGCAGGAAGAAAAGGGGATGGGAAGTCAACAAGAGACTGGTGATGCTGATATGGTAAATAATATGCTTGCCACAATTAAAATGAACATTTTCAACTTTGTCATTGCATATATAATATTGAGCAACAGCAAACACCAAAAGCCATCACAAAATGGCAAGAGCTTCTAAAAAATGGGCACATCAGGACACTCATTAAAAGCCCTAAGACTTTGACCACCGACAGTTTAATATGTTGTACAATGAGTCCTGCAAATTTGAGTATAACCTTGACTAGTAAAAGCCTGCTCTTGTCCCCTGTACTCCAGGCCCTGGTTTAATTCTACTGGATAAACCACGATCTAGCAGATACATTTTTTTTTTGTTAACACTTATCCACTGCATAGCAATTAATCTGGTGGATAGCCTTATCCAGTCTTTGAAAAACTGGGACCATGCCTATAACTCAATGGAAACACCAGCTGTTGATGTACCACGGTGCAAACAAAGATAATCTGCATTTGATAATCAAAATGTCTCAATAAAATTAACCATACACTTTTTATACTTGAATAGAGGTACATAAGTGTGTATGCTTGATAAATACATAAACTTGTGCTGCTAATTCTTGAATCTTCTTCAAACTTTTATTACTGAATGATGCAGAAAATGTTGAAGGATACATGCAATCACCTTGGAAAAAAATAATGTCAGATTTATGCATTTTACCTTCAAGCTCTGAGGAACAAGTTGTAAAACATGATCAAGCCAAGAATCTTCCATAGGAGCCACATGTTCTGTGTCTATTCCATGATGAATGTAGTAGTAGTAACGCTATAAAATTAATTTTTAATTAATTTTAATTAATTAACACCTTGCCTTAAAAACAATGCTTTATATACAAACTCACTTACTGTACATTTCTGCTACTGTACCATGGTGACCCATATACTGCAGCAATTACGAATCAAAGAATTATGAGACTGTATATTTCTGTTAAATTGTGAAATTTACAAATTATGGGTTCCAAAGTTTTTCAGGAGTTTTCTCTTTAAAATACTAAAAAAAATTAGAGAATAAGCTAAGTGCTCGAGAAGGTTTTTTTTTTCATAAAACTTGTGGTAATTGTTTTGACTTCCAAAAATTGGTTTACCATAAAAGGAGTCTCAAAGTCCAAAACAAATTATAGGTCTGCAATAGCATGCTCAAAGTTGTTTGGGGGTGACCAAAAACCAGTTTAGGAGGCTAAGTTACTGTAGATCTCAAATCTTGTCACTCATTCAGCTGGCTTTATCACGTGTCCACCTCTGTGTCCACCATAGTTTCCAGCATTTTTCAGCACTTTGTCTTTCATGGATTAGTATTACCACACTCTTTTTCAGTTGACATCAAAACAAAAGAAAGGTCCTTATTGTGATGTACATGCAAGTAACCACTGTATTTGGTTTGCTCTTCTTTTTTATTTTAGTTACCAAAATTGACTTAAACTTTAATAGGTGACAAAAGCCTGCTATAAGAGTTTGTATGGGGCTCAGCAAAGATTCGAAATTTGATTGAAAGCTATCTCTGCCTTCCTTTGACAAGCTGAAACAAAAGTTTGAAACCTTGACTGGTGTTATTTTTATTTTTTCCTGAGCAGTTCTGTAAGTCATTTGAGGGATTTTGGTTTAAACAGAAAATTCATCAAATATCTTGCAAAAGCACCAGAATGACAGAGGAAGGACATCTGGTAACATCTTAACCTTAATTGTCCAAGAACTTTGGCCACCTGCGACATTTGTTAAACATTGTATGATGACATTTACAAGATGTCCAGCTTTTTATTTCTTTTTATCATATAGATAGGACTGTGCGCACTCTGATTGGTCAAAAACTTATGTTTTATCAGAGTATAAAACATAGAAAAGTGTGTTTTATTGTTTTTTGGCACATCACCTCTATATCATAAAGCAAGTGAAGAAGCCTAAGCCGTGTATTACACTGTGATAAAACACTCCGCACATTTGAGAACACTCAAGAAATGTAGAAAACACTCGTCTATGGCTCATGTTTTCTGCATTTCCCTTGTGTTCTCAAATGCCCGTTGTGTTTTGTCCCAGTGTAGTACACGGCTTAGGCTTCTTTTATTTGTTAATCACATGCACCACATGATAACTCTTCCCTTTCATTTTGCTGTTGATACTTCACAATTTTATCATGTCCAATGCTACAGTGCTCTTAGAAGATAATGTAAAATTTTCCTTCCCCAGGTTTCGACCAGTTGCATACACAGCCTATTAAGCTATTTAATTGGGTCCTATTATTAGTCTAAACTAAGTCACTTTAAAAAAATCTTCCGAATCTTTAGGCATGTCTAAGAGGTGTATTTAATCACTTGACTTTTCTGAACTGATCATCAACAATACATGTAGTTTGGTGTCCCCATTTAGCATGTACACCAGTACATAATCACGGTAGATGATTTGACAAAATAATACAGTTCTGACTGACAGAAAGATGGCCTGACCCATTGAGGAAGGCCGTTTTATATTTGACTTCAAAATATTTTGAAAATCCATCCAAGTCGACTTATAAAAGTGTGCATGTAGCCTTACCAAGAAGACCAGTCTGTTCTTGGTATCTACAAGTCTCTTTTCAAGGTCAAATATGGTCTCATTCTCCACCTGTTCAATGTAGTTCTATAAAGGAAACAATATAAACAATAAAGAGTGTACAAACTTGGTAGTGAAATTAAATGACTAACAGACCTTGTGCATATTCACTATACTATAAATGTAAGTACATATAAATAGTTTAAAGTACTAGCATTTTTGAAGAATGTTGTTTCAAACAAAAAGAAACAGATAAAAAAATCTAAAAATTTGGGCTTGTTTGCTGCTTACTAAGTCTGACATGGCACATGACAGAGTTTCTGGGCAATCAATTTCAAATATCATCTGTGACTCCTGATGCTCCATTCTTGGGAGCGACATTTTGATGTTTTTTTATTCTGTTTCGTGAACAGAGAACCATGTAAGTATTTTTATTACACCTCTCAGTTACTACATGTGCTGCAATTGGTCAATTTAGTGTACTGTAGGGCCCGCAAAAATTCAAAGTTGTTTTTGTTGCCAAATTGTTTCACGATTTATCACCTCTTAACTTTTATAGCAAGTAAAAGTTTAAAATGTTCTTCTACTTTAAACTGTGTATTAAAACATGCCCATGACTAAACAGCAATTTCAAATTGACTTGTTTTGCTTTTGACGTGCGTCAGAAATTGGAAGCCAATCCGTGTGAATAGAAATTGTTCCAAATTCATCAGACACATAGAAGAGATGTAATAAATATCTTACTAACCTCGTCTTCTTGGTCGGTACTGTAAATGTTATGGATCTTTGTTTTTTCCCTTTGATTTATGGCCCCCGTGCTTAGCGCAAGAAAACCTGGTGCGTAACTTATAGTGTGGACCAAGAAGATGAGGTTAGTAAGTGGTTTTAGTAATTTTATTAACGGGTATTTTCAAACCTTTAGCTCCATGAGATGTTCTGTGTTAGCAGGAGAGGTCAGTGCTTTTTCTGCTATCTTCTCATACTCTTCACAAAGCCTT